CAACAAGCATGGTATCCCTGCTGGTAATATTGTCAAGGTAGAGGAGAGGATAAACAGTTACATTCTCAGCCGTCCTGATCACCCCCTGCAGCCTCTTCTTGTCAGCAGTGGTAGAGCCAGCGTACCACAAAGTGATGATGTTTGCGAGCACATGCTCGTGGTGGAGGGAAAGGTTATCATCAGCTTAAGCTTAATTCACACTCCCTTCGAACTGCCAAGTTGGCACGAATTGTCGTAGTTTCATGACGAAAATCATGTCACTGGTGTTCTCAGYGTCGACTCGACTGCCCCTTTTGGCTCAACCCACCGGCAGAACTTTTTACTCACCTCCCACTATGACGGTAATGTGTGATTAGTTTGAAGTTCCCGGGCGTTTGAGCTGAAAGCGCTCAGACACTGCATTTTAATTCAAAAACTCATTGAAAAAATCGCTTCCAAAGCCAACTGTTACCAGGAAGCAGACTTTAAAGATAGTCAAACTGTGAAAAACTCGTGAATTGAGATAAAACAGATGTTGTGCACAGAAGAATCTGAAACACATGGCTTAACCGGTTATTTCTGTTTTAGAGTGCGTGGGTTAAGAACCTGCTGTTCCAGAAACAAACCACGGCTGTTAGCTTCACAGTGGCAGTAACTTTTTTACCAAGGCAGACGACGATGTCCCTGTGCACTCGCTTCGGATGTTATCATCCATTAAATGGACGTTATTAGCTGTTATCTGTCCCATACAATGGCTTCAGACTGTCCCGACTCTGCCGCCAAGTAGGTTCTCCGTCCCATAGAATGGCTTCAGACTGTCATCTGGTTAGTATGAGGCATAAAGCCACTAAGGTTTTTTATGCAATCTGGTTAATATGGGGCATAAAACCACTAAGGTTTTTTTATGCAGTCTGGTTAGCATAAGGCATAAAGCCACTAAGGTTCATTTTAGAGAAAATGACCTGGGCTACGATAAAGTAGACCGGACTCCGGCGGTAGCAGATTGTTGCATTCCAACATTTATGGCATTGGTAAGCCACTCGGGGGCACTGTCGGGATAGTCTGAAGCCATTCTATGGGACTAATAAACTGCTAGACTGCACAGTCGGGACAGTCTGAAGCCATTCTATGGGATTGAAAACCGCTAATAATGTCCATTTAATGTACTGATAACATCCGAAACGGCTGTGTCACTTCTGATTCTGAATCAGAACAAGATGAAGCAGACAAATCAACAATAGCGACCGCAATACTTTGGAAACATTATGTTTTCAGTTGAAGTTAGCTGAAGACGAGGAAAATGAAGAATGCTTTGACTCATGGCGAGAAGCTGGATCGTAACAGTTCAGAAGCTGGACATCACTACTACAACATTTGAAGCTAACAGGCTAAAAAGTATTTATTTTGGAGATGACAACATCCACAGAAAGATCAGGGTGAAAAGAAAACATGCCATGATGGGAGGTGTTGTATGGTATGGGGACAACTCTTCTGAAACTGTTTTCTCTCTAATCCTGTTTGCAGATTGCCAACACTCAAATGGCCATATCGGGTTTTTTTGTTTGTTTGTTTGTTTGTTTGTTTTTGTGATAGCCATGTGTTTAACATCACTGAATAACTCAGAACCCACACCCACACAGATTCTGTAAATAACTCAAAATGACCCCGGAGGAGACTTGTTTCTTGTGTTTGCCTTGGCCAGTCACATATTTTGGGTTGAAATTTCTGTAAATGATCACTGTTGTTTTCATAATCAAACTCAAACCTAATATTACTCTTTTTCAAAGGCTATAGATGATGATGGGCAGTCCAGCTCCTCGGAGGGCAGTACAGTGGATTTTACAGAAGATAGAGGAAAATCTGACATTGACTTTGAAATTGAAGTAAAGAAGGAACCTAAGGACTGTTTTACTGCAGGTAAAAACTACCTCAATGCGATTTGCAATATTACATTGTATTCTGCATATGGGTAACATATTTTCATCTCTTCTCAGGCTGTGTGAAAAAGTTTAAGTGTTGTCAGGTTGATGTGAAAGTGGGCTTTTGGAAGCTGTGGTGGACATTCAGAAAAACTTGCTTTTGCATAGTGGAGCACAACTGGTTTGAGAGCTTCATCATCTTTATGATTTTGCTTAGCAGTGGAGCRCTTGTAAGTTTCAAAAAGTTATCTTGCATTTAAATTTGGACTGCTTTAAGATTAGTTTCTTTATCATTTTGACATTACTGAAAAGTATAATTGCAAATTTGATTTAAGGACTCACAACGTTTTCCCTCTAGGCATTTGAAGACATCTACATCGAGCAAAGGAAAATCGTTAAAGTGGTATTGGAATATGCTGACAAAATATTCACCTTCATCTTTGTTCTGGAGATGCTGCTGAAGTGGGTGGCATATGGATTTGCCAAGTATTTTACAAATTATTGGTGCTGGTTGGACTTCTTCATTGTTGATGTAGGTTTAAACACATCAGTTTAAACTGAAACATACAGTACCTACTTTATTTGTCAAACCCAGTTTTCAAAGGTGTTGAGGTATATGCAAATAATGCAAACACAATTCACATGAAAAAGCAATTAAACAGTTCTGCATTATGTCTTAACAACATGGACTCTAACACAAAATCAACTATGAAATTAGTATGGCTGTGTATTGGCAAGAGTTTGGTGATATGATACATCTCATGACACAAGGGTCGCGATATGATATATTGTGATACCGTAAGCAAGACAATAGAAAGCAATGTATTGCCATTTTTGGCCCAAAATTTTAAATATTAAAACTCAATATATGTATTTTATATGTTTAATATTTCTTATTACATTCATGTTTTCAATTGTTAGACCAAATGTACCATTAAATAAGTTGAAACTATATTTGTGGCAGCTTTAAGACACTAACAATGGCCTTTTGCTAAAGTTTAGTAAATGGATTAAAAGAAGTTGTTACAGTCTGCATTGCTGTCATGAAGCCCCTTAAGGGGGTAGAGTGAGTACGCCAGTCATTTTAATGTCCTCTCTGTTTCATATGGTCATTGGATTTGTTCACTTTAGTACCGTACCTCGTGGACCCCTTCAGCTCTATGCACTAAACGAATGCCTACCTGCCTGCCGAATCACAACAGCTCTGATTTTAGGCTGCGGTCAGAGAAAGGGCATCCCGCACAAGCCACTTTCATTTTGGCTTTGAACATCCCGGCTATTACAAGAGAGTTGGCAATCCTACCTCAGATTCAGACACCGGTACTCAGTACAAACATTTACCGACAATGTGAAAGTTTAAGCTATAGCATTATACTCTCAGGCTCCTCAGGAGTGAAAGAGCCAAATGGCTGGCTGTCTGCTGCCAACTAGCAGCCTGAGGCTAAAATACAACACAAGAATGAACCACTGGCATGAAAGTCTACATTTTGAGCCTTAATTAAATATTAATACAGTACTTTAGAGAATCAATTCAGTATTGGTGAATGAAATATTGCAATATTCCAGTGTACTGATATTTTCTTACAACCCAGATATCAGTCCTCCTACGAGTCAGGTTAATTGAGAATAGTCGTTATTTTTTACATATTTTTTAGGCAAATAACTTGTGCTCAAATGATATGCTAATGTGATAAAATGCTACATTAGTTAAAGCTCTACTTTTTTGCATAACTTTATCTGAATGTTTGCCTGTTTTTTATTAACCAAATATTGTCCATGTTACTATGCAAATGTAGGTATTCTAAGACTGACTGACTTTGTTGCAAAAGTTACACATAGTAGCATATATGTTGTTCAACTGGTCAAATAAGCTAAGCAAATGATGCTATGCTAAAATATGTAGATTTAAAAGCCCTTTCACACTATGAAGTCATAGACAACTTATGCCAACTTGTGAAAATTTTAGACATCTACATTGAAGATGGAATTTAAAATCAACTGGAAGCTTCTTTTAGGCTTGTACATACTGTAATTCTTTTAAAAAATGATCAAATTTACAACTTTTATTAGCAATTTAGACATAAAAAATGTTTCATAAGTTGKCATAAGTTGTCTAATGTGACAGGACCTTAACATTAGTTTATATAACATTAAATAACGCCAGCGTAACACTTGAGCAAAGAGTTGTTTTATTTGCCTAAAAAATTACTATGAAACATGAGCCAGTTTGGCTAGCAATTAGCCTGACTTGTAGGTCAACTTGTTCTTTTCTACATTATCCCATTCTTTATGGCTGATATCACAGATATAAAGGTTAACTCTTTTACATAACTATTTGAAAGACCATCACTTCAAAAATAGCCAAACTATCTCTTTAAAGATTAATAGTGTTCCCTGTATGCACAACATGTTTATTTTTGTCTGTCCTTCAGGTTTCACTGATCAGTCTTGTGGCCAATGCTTTGGACTATTCCGAATTAGGTGCAATCAAATCTCTAAGAACCCTACGAGCTCTGAGGCCCCTAAGAGCCCTGTCGAGATTTGAAGGCATGAGGGTAAGAGTAACAAAGCATCCCAGTGAATTGTTTACCTTCAGTATATTGAATTGTGTACACAGGGGACACACAGTTTGGTGATAATCAACGTTAAACACTTTGGCACAAATATGGACCTGTTGCAAAATTAACAAATTACCAGGTGTCATTTTATATTAGAAGAAAGACAAAGAAAAACATTATTAGTAGACATTGTTATATATGCCAACATGTAGAAAAGATTCACAAGCAGCTGAGTGAGGAAATGAGGTCAGTTGGTCATCTTGCAGTTTAAGCAGCAAAACAAAGGCATATGTCAGGAAACCTAAGCCAAATTTATCTATAGGATTAATCAAAAAAGAACATCTTATCTTGAYAGACTGTCAGCCTCACAGACAGCAATTAAGTCATTACAGTTTTGCTTATTACACGCTATTGTACACTGATTTATTCAATTTTGTTTGCTCCTTTTTTCCCTTGTAATGGCATGGTATTTTACCTTAGATCCAAATTGTCTTGTGTGCCATAGAACCGTAACATGGCCAAACACATCTATAAAGTCATGTCGTTCATGTGTGTGTTTATTTACAGGTAGTTGTTAATGCCCTTATGGGAGCCATTCCTTCCATCTTCAATGTGCTGCTGGTTTGTCTCATCTTCTGGCTCATCTTCAGCATCATGGGTGTCAACTTATTTGCTGGAAAGTTCCACAGTTGTGTCAACACAACTACAAATACGGCTTTTTTACCAGCGCAGGTGAAAAATATGACTGATTGTCTCATGTTAAAGAACAATCCCGATAACACGGCAAGCTGGAAAAATCTCAAAGTCAACTATGACAATGTTGCCATGGGCTACCTTGCCCTTCTGCAAGTGGTAAGTTATTTAACCACGTGAAAGTGTCAAAATGAATGTAATTTCGACATCTTTGATTTCTCATTTGCTGCATTAATTCCTAAACAGGCTACATTTAAAGGTTGGATGGAAATCATGTACGCCGCTGTGGACTCACCAGAAAGGGTATTAAATTTTATTTTGATTACCTGAACAYGACTAAAACTTGTATATTTAGCATATTTGCAAGATAGGTGCAGTCATTGTGGCAAGACGGAGGGGTTGGGTACAATGACTAACAATGGAGTGAGATAAAATGCAGTTCATGGATCAACAGATCTGGACTGTATAAAAATATGTAATGAATTTACACCCTCTTATAACAAAAGTTATAAGGAAATGTATTTATCACGAGTTCTCTTATTTTCAGGAAAAAATCTTCTTTATGCAAAATTGAATGACAAACACAAAAAGTGAACGTGACTCAGTGAATTTTGACTTGATCCATTAATAAATGCGAACATTTATTTACACAATCAAACAAAATCATGAATGTACACTTATTTGTGAGCTTAATTTCCTATAAAAAGTTAGAACAACAAACTTTTAGTCTTAGATATTAATAAACCATTTGTTTGCGGCACTTTTTCTTAAGTTTTGGCAGGGCATAAGGTTTATGGTAACAAAAGGCGGAAGAAGAGGATTATTTAGTTTTTAACTTTATCCTTAAAGAATGTGGATTTTTGACCAGAAAAGGCAAACATCTCTCAACAAATTCAGTCAGACACTTGGTACGCTCAGTAACGGGCAGCCATTACCTTGACCGAGGACAGAGGAGTCATCCACCACGGTTCAAGTCGAAGGGAAGGTCGTCCAGTTGGTGAAGGACTCTCAGAACCTCACCTAGTCGGACACTTCCAGGCCCACTCTTTTAGCGTCTCCTGCTCTGCTTTCAATCAAAGATCAGATACAAGGGTCTTCTCTGTTTTCGTCTCAAAAAACAAAAATACTTCCGCCACAGAAGTTTCAAAACAAAAGTTGCTCTGTGTGGCTTTGATAAGCTTAAGATAATGGACRAGACCGAGTGTTGGTCTGGTCCATGCTGAGAGGTCTCCCTTTGACTCAATGGGCCAAACCTTGAGCCAAGCGCTTGTTCTCCTCACTGGAGAGAAACAGCTGCTTCCTTGTCGAAGCACAAGAAAAAAAATTCTACTGTTAGTCTTAGACCAAAGATGTTAGTTAAAAGATAGAAGTGTTACTGAGGCACTACCAGGGGCTGTTTGTCTTAAACAAAAAAAAAATGCTGTCGTCTGTCTCTGTACAGCCTGTCCCCTGGCAAGAACACTTAAAGACACTTAAAGGATGATTTACTGAAAATCTAAAAATGAATTATTTCATTTAAGAACATACATCATGATGATTCAGACAAAAAAAGTTTCATAACAAAGCTTAACCATAATGCTGAGTTTAGCTAAGTACGGTAAATTATCTCAACAGAAAAATCTATAATCAAAATTTCAAGCAATGATTTGCATTAAAACAAGAGAACATTGAAAATCCATAAAATTATGAAAAGAAAGAAGATGATTCTGTTTATTACCTGATTAAGAAGAAGAAAACAACTCTTTAATGTTTAATAAGACACATTATGACATAAATTCAGTTTTCAAAGGAACAGAGTTTTGTCTCTCTGAAGGAGGTCTTCTGAGACCAAGGTCAAAGACAAGTGGAACTGTTTATTCCACTCGAGGTGACCACTACACGTAGTAGAGACATATCTACATATATCAAGTTGTGCAGATTGTCTGTAAATTGCACATATTTTCCCCCATTTTGCATGTACTGTATATACAGTAGATGTTTTTAAAAAATCTCATAGATTTTTCTCTAAAACTCAGCTTCAGATTTATTTTGTATCTCAGAAGCTGTCCACCCCCTTCTCTCATTGTACTCTACATGTTACACCCCAGGTCAAAGACAACCTGAGTAAATACTAAATGTTTTGAAATTTTGATTTCATTTATTAAGGTAAACATACAATGCAAACCAACCCCCATTTTTAAATCGTGAATTAACTGTGATTAGTCACAATATTTGGAAAGCTGAGGTACATTTCTCTAAGCCAGGCCTGATTGTTGCCAGTCTTGTAGAATCAAAAAGTCACTTTAATGGACACATTATTTACTAATGGAGAAAACATGTTTTGTATTTGTTTTGTTTTTGTTTTATTTGTGTGTGTCATTTATAGCGAGACGAACAACCAGAATATGAGAGAAACTTTTGGATGTATATATATTTTGTTGTTTTCATCATATTTGGATCCTTTTTTACCCTCAATCTCTTCATTGGTGTCATTATAGACAATTTCAATCAGCAAAAGAAAAAGATAAGTATCACTTTTTAACACAGTTTATATATATTTTTTTCTTTTTTTGTGGTCTAATGTTGCTCTCTTCCTCTCTTTACTTTGGAGGTCAAGACATTTTCATGACTGAAGAGCAGAAGAAATACTACAATGCAATGAAAAAGTTGGGGTCAAAGAAACCACAAAAACCTGTCCCTAGGCCGGCAGTATGGAACTTTAATTATGAATGCTTCAAATTTATGTTGATAAAAATATTTTTTACATTGTCTAAATGAGTTTTTTGTGTCTGTTTTTAGAACAAGATACAAGGATACGTCTTTGACTTGGTCACAAAGCAAGCATTTGATATTGTGATCATGGTTCTAATCTGGCTTAATATGGTAACCATGATGGTGGAAACAGAAGATGACGACAGTGTAAAAGATAAAATTCTCGAGAACATCAACATAGCGTTTATTATTGTCTTCAGTGGAGAATGTCTGTTAAAGATGATCGCACTTCGACACTACTTTTTCATGAACGGCTGGAATATATTTGATTTCATAGTAGTCATTCTTTCAATTGTCGGTATGTGTGGCCTCTTTTGCCCAAACAAATTACTTGTTTTGGAGTATTCCTGTTTTATTGTTAGTAATTCATACATCTTTTCTCTYTCTCTCTTTTTTTCTGTAGGCACATTTCTCTCAGATTTGATAAAGAAGTATTTTGTCTCACCAACCCTGTTCAGAGTCATTCGGCTGGCTCGAATTGGCCGAGTCCTCCGCCTTATTAAAAGTGCCAAAGGAATCCGCACACTCTTGTTTGCCTTGATGATGTCACTTCCTGCCTTGTTCAACATTGGTCTCTTGCTCTTCTTGGTGATGTTTATCTACGCCATCTTTGCCATGTCAAATTTTGCTTATGTCAAGAAAGAAAAGGGCATTGATGACCTTTTCAATTTTGAGACTTTTGGAAACAGCATGCTCTGTTTGTTTCAAATTACCACGTCGGGGGGCTGGAATGAGCTTTTAGCCCCCATGCTGAACACAGGTGATGATTGTAATAATGCCATGGAGCATCCAGGGAGCAATGCTAAAGGAAATTGTGGAAAACCTTCAGTGGGAATTGCCTTCTTTGTGAGCTACATCATTATCTGCTTTCTTATTGTGGTGAACATGTATATTGCAGTCATTCTGGAGAACTTTGGCGTGGCAACAGAGGAGAGTGCTGACCCATTAAGTGAAGATGACTTTGAAATGTTCTATGAGGTCTGGGAAAGATTTGATCCTAGTGCAACACAGTTTGTCAAGTACAACTTGGTTTCAGAATTAGCCAGTACTCTTAGCCCCCCGCTACGCATCCCCAAGCCTAACAGAAAGATACTCATGTCCATGGATTTACCTGTTGTGAGTGGTGACCGTGTTCACTGCTTAGATATCCTATTTGCTTTCACGAAGCGTGTTTTGGGTGAAAGTGCAGAGATGGACAACCTGAGAGGACAAATGGAGGAGCGCTTCATGGCCTCAAATCCTTCCAAACTGTCCTATGAACCCATTACTTCCACCCTCCGCCGCAAACAGGAAGATCTATCAGCTGTTGTGATTCAGAGAGCATACAGACATTATGCCGTTAAGAGTAAGTTCTCTGACATCTTGAATGTTGACACTAAAACCGATGAAGAGGTCACCAACAGAGACAACCATTTGACGGAAAAACCTAAAAAGAAATCGAGTTCTGATAAAACTGAACCGGCACACTCGACAGCCTCTTCGTCGTCGTGGGGCATTCACGGTGTGACGACAAACGGCAAAAACAAATATGAAAAAGACCAAAGAGAAAAGGAGGTTGGGAGCAAAGATGTCAAAGAACAAGACACAAAGAAGAACACTGAAGATGCAGAAAAGACTTTGCAAGAATGAAAATGAAGTGTTTACATTTTTACACGAACAATTTTAAATGATTCCAGGAAAATAAATCTTCATAGCTGTTTGCAACATTATATAAAGTATTATGAATAGTTAAATCCTGTGATAAGAGTTTCAGTTGAAAAGTTATGGACAGCTAATATCTTACTTGTTGTAGATAATATTTTGAATGACTTCAGTTTGGAGAAATAGAATTGATTTATTGATGCACAAACAACAGTTCACGTTTTGTTTTGTTTTGTTTTGTTTTGTTTTTGTATTTGTGGATAAAATTATCACTGGTATTGCCCTAGGCTGCTCCAAAAGAGTTGCAGATAGCCACTGCATCTACTATTTACGCTTGCAAATACCCGTGTAAAATTAACCATAATGGAAATATTTATAAAATAGCATTTGCATGAACTGTGAAGATGTTTTGAATGTTAAAGTTGTTATAAGATGGCAGAAATCCACTTTGGTTTTGACCCCAGCGAGACCATCTGTTATTTCACCAGTCCAGTCAGAAAAAACTCTGTTTCTCCAAAGTTAGGGTGTTCAAAACGCAATTTACAACAAGTAAAATTTAAGTTATTCATTTCCACAGATTCCTTTTTCAGATGATCTGAACTCTAATTCTTTATAGTGATCTCTAATGCTTTTGTACTGAATGTCTACTGCAGCTATTTCTACTACCTGTGTCTTGAAGTGTTCATGTATATATCTCTACATTTCAGTTCCCAACCAATTTTTGTTTTCAAGCAGAAAAAGTGTTTTATCCTAAGATTTAGATATTTATTTTTATTTTTTGTTTTTATATAAAAATTACACATATATAGAGTTCATTTTACTTTTAGGTTTATTCCTTTGTGTTTAAAGGGAACATATCATGCAAAATCCTCTTTTTATAGCTGTTAAATTAATTTTGTTGTGTACTTGGAGTTCAGAAAAGTTGAATTTAGTCTTTCCCAGTGCTACAAAGATTTCTTTATATTCTGTTTGGGTCATATATTTCAGCTGATTAATTTTTCTATGTTTTATATGATGTTATTTGAACTATTACGTCAAATTATCAGCAGCAGAACTACAAATAAGGTCTGGACTTGACATCTACAATTTGGTCTTCTTCATTTTCCTCTGGCTCTGGGTCAGACTCTGGCTTCATCATGTAAGGCTGGATGGAAAAGCTTTCTGTTGTTGACATCGTTTTAATTGAATTGTAAATAAAACATTTCCGCTCTGCTAGAAAATGCTAAACCCCACTCTCAAGCCGGCGTGGACCGGTCTGGAAGCGCCTTAAAGGAACAGCATCAAAACCAGCTGCTTTGTGACACACATCAGAAAAGTGGTGAAAGAGGGGCTGGTAAAGTTAGAATAAGGAGGAATTCAGACCAAATCATTGTAGTTCCACTTTATAAAGACCGTAACTGAATGATTTAAATATGAAAAATGAAGGATTTAAAAGCATGATGTGTCCACTTTAAACTTTTTTTTTACTGAATGCACTGCTTTAATAAAAGTCTTAGGGACTGATAGTGCTTAAAATGTTTGATAAAGCCATACAGCATGTAGATCTGCATGGCTGTTTCCATGGCTGTGCATGCCAAAGACTGCTATTTTCACCATGCATTATCCCAAGCCTTTATAATTTATGATACAAACTGCTGTACTGGTTTTATTTATTTATTCATTTTTACATAAAAAAAAACTGTTGTGTCAAATGTGCTGATTGTGTGCTAATTGCTGTGAATGCATGAACCCTTGTGCAAAACACTTTACACTTTTTTTTTCACTGAAAATGTTCCCATACTGTATGTCATTAAACCTATTGTGTCTTCGAATCAGCACAAATAGGTACAGACTGGCTTTGTGTTCAATCTGCTACCACTGCACATGAAAAGAAAGTATCATCACACTTATCTCTTATRTGACTTTTGAGATTGTAAGATGAGTGTGAGTTGTGTGAATGGTGTGGTATTTATGTAACTGTTTGTATTATAATGTATTTTATAATTTCTTTATATTCAACATGCCATGTGGAAATTCGGGATGCTAAAGTCGTGGCACACATGTTCATTGTAATGTAATGTGTGAATGCTTTGTTTAAAGTTAAATCTTTAAAGATTTTTACATCTAGGGATTTGAAGGGTAAATGGTTTGTATTTGGAATTTGCTTTAATTTTTTTTTACCTAAAAACAAACCCTGACAGTTTTCTGCAGTAGTCTTTGATGTTGCCAGGTAGGACATTTTATGTTTTTAACCTAATTTGTTGCCTTTTCCAAGTCCATACAGTTTCCCCTGTTTCTATGATTTTTGTCTTAAATGCACATGTTTCATATTGATCATATCATTTTAACATTTTTAGAAAATTCATTAATTCTCTCAAATATAATACATCCTGTTCTACTGTATACGATTAATGACATGGATGTATTACTGATCGTACCGCTCTGTTAGATTACTGACAGGGTTGGTGACGTGTGTGAGCTTAGTGGATTGTGTTTTGCTGTTTACCTCTCAGTCTTTATTATAATTAATATTAAAGATGGATACAAGACGACTCAGGATACACTGTGTTATGAGTGATCTCAAGGAAAGCGCATCACACATCTTATGTGTCCTTGTGCTTTTTCCTGCCTCTGTTTACATTTTATATTGTTGCTGTCTGCAGCAGCTACATCACAGTTACCATTTCATTGATGAAAACTACATTTTGCATGTAATTTAAATGKTCAATACCTATGCTACTTGTTATGCACACCAAAATAATGTTTTTACTACATAAAACTCTTTGTTTATATGCATATTATTTGTGGTGTACAAATAAACTGCACGTAAGATGTTGCTGTAACTCATTTTACTAAAAAAGGGAAATTATTTAAAGATACCATGTGTCAAATAAGCCTACTTTTTTGTAAAAAAAAAAAAAAGTGTAACCATGTCTACTTTCTGTTGAGTTGAATGCAAGACTAATAATCTGTAAAAATAAGAGCTTTGTTTAAATAAACTTTTCAGTTACTCACCTCAGTTTTATTTGGCATCTCCTCATGAAACTTCTTGCTTAGTGTGCTTTTTTAGATCCTTCTAAACATTTTGGAATGAGTTCCTCTCTGCTTTTTGTTATCCACAATTTTAAGGGTTTAGTCCCAAAACATTGTTTTACAAGAACTGATAAAGGATGAAGACACACTATAGTTCTATAKGCCACAAATAATAATTTAGCTGCCTTTTTTTAAACTTTTGTTTCTTTTGTTAAACTGCTATGTGTTGTATGGTTGAGACTTAATATGCACTGGTTTATTGGTGGTTGTATAATTTGGAAGAATCCTGAAATCTTCAAGAACATCTAAATCAAAGAAGGAAAATTGTGTGGCTTTTCAAGTCACCAGAGACCATAACGTCTAAAGACTGTGTAGATCACAAACGTATTTTGTTAAAGTTAGCAAACTATTTGGTTTTGTTCTCAAACATTGCAAAGGTAGGTTTCAATGGGGKTTTTTTTTGTTTATTTATTTATTTATTTTTGTTTTTTTGCAAACTGAAGGGAGGTATTGTACATTTTATCTGAAATTGTGTATTCCTCAAATTTAAATATTGAGTCAGAAACATAAAAAGTAGTTGTAAGTCAGACTAGGATGTTTTGCGTTTTGAGGTTGTGATCTATGATAGCTTAACTCTCTAATGACTTAATGCTGCATTTCAGATCTAAAATCCTTTATTTAATGTCTAATGTTAAGTATTCAAGATTGATTTTCTTGTTGAATGAAACTAAGTAGCTTTCAGTTTAAATATGACTAAGTGAAGTTCTTTGATTGACAGATAATTCAGAAGCAATCATCATTAACTTTTACTGTTGTGATATTTTTAAAAAAAATGTTTCAATGCTTTCAGCAACCAAACATCATTATTGGCATATCAGAACCTGTAAACTGTCAAAGTTATCAGTGTCCATTTCATGCGCAACAATTAAAGCGCACTCCAACTGTAAATGGTTCAACTTGCAGCACATTATTGTCTTGAATTTCCTGGAATATGGAAAGCACTTAAACTTGCGTGACTTTCATCCAACTTGTTTTTTTAATTATACGGGCTGTAAATATTTCTTTGAAACAAGTGAATCTTTTCTCATTCAAACATGGAGACGTTTACCAGCAAATGTTTTCATTTTGAAGAACGCTGTTTCATCCAGCATCTGTGGATGAGGTTAGAATCTGGTTTCTGAGTGCTGAGCCGGAACCTATTAGCATCTTAAGTGGAAGAAGCGTTGTATTAATTATTAAAAGCAGTCCAAATATTTGTGACTGTCCATCAAAGGCTTTGTCAGCTGTGGTTGCTGAACTTTGTGGGCAGTAAACAACAAGAAACGGATGGCAGAGTGCTCATTATTCCAGCAAATTTGCCCAATAAAGATGATGTGATGATCACTTTGTGCTGCACACACACAGTCTTGCTTTCCTGAGTTGAGCAATCGTGCCAACATCTGAGCTGCCTCTGTCTGTCTGAACGTTTGCCAGGATGCACTCAACACTGTGAGGATTTTATTTATTTATTTATTTATTTATTTATTTATTTATTTATTTATTTATTTAGGTCTAGCATTTTTCTTTTCTTAATGTTATAATACTGAATCGTACAAGAAATCCACCGCTCTATGTTCATGCGATGTGGCAAACAGCTCTCCAGTGGCAACAAGTGAGGGTTACTGATTGCCTGTTTTAATGGTCATTAAATCAAGAATGATTCTGCAGATTCTCCCTGCAGGTTGCCTGGCAACATGACAGAAAACTCTTTTGGTAAACTACATTAGGGTTGAAGGTCGGATGTTGGTCTGCCGTCCCCATCCCCGGAGTCTTGCATGCTGGGCAGTAGTCTACCATGTGGACATGTTTGTGTTAAAGGATGCCTATTTGGTTTGAATCTGGCCACTGGTATGCAAGGAAAGCATAGTAAAAAAAAAAACCTTTTCAAAGAGAAATTTGAGAATGCTACCAATAACAGCTCTGTAATTGTATTTTCTGCAGATAGATGGACAGAAAATCCCATTATATTAGACAGCAGGGAGTTCTGCTCTCTACCTTTTCAGTGCGCTAATAGATGGACACACATGCTGACAGACACACAGTTCTTTATCTCAGTTTCCTTTCACAGGCACGTGCACATTCAAACACCTACCATGCATCAAATTGCTGAAGATGTCTGCAACAGCAGAAAAAAATTGTCCTCCATCACTTTTTTGTTTTGTTTTCGTTATCATTTAGTAATTGAAAATTGCTTGTTTACATCAATATTCAAAGTTTTAAAAGGAATTAGATTTCAAGTAACTTTTTCTTCAAGACACAAGGAAAGTTGAAATAAAAGTGTTCATTAGCAAATGAGCTGCTTGTATAATTGGACATGCTGCTTTGATCAATAATGGTCTGCACAAACCACAATGGATACAACCATTAGATTAAAACGCGAAATATCCCAGGGGATCCGTATTACATCGTCCTCCTCTAATAGGTTTTAAGATGCATTCTTTAAAAGTGCAACAACACATGCAATATTTATTGTTATTTGCTAAGTACAACACCTCGGTTGTTGGCCATGTAACTGTGACACACATTATGTGACATAGTAAATTCATTATTGGGAAAAATGATTTGATTTACTTTGTGTCATATGTAGTAAATATGGAAAAGAAAGTCATTAAAGGAAGATTCATCATTTATTCTTGGAAAATATTCTCCATCACTTAAAACTCATGCGGCACATTATTTTCCTATAGTTGTTGAAACTGTAGACATATCTCAGCCTGAATTATTCTTTCAATGACGAGCTCTTCAGAGAATAATGATTATGTGCCAGGATTGGTGCTAAATACTATCTGACATGGAGAGGTATCTGTTACAGTGTGGGCACCACATTGTGGATTTACTGTATTTAACAGTCGGCTCATGGTGTTGTTTGACAGTAGAGCCTCTGATTACTAGCTTGACCAAATAATTTTTCCACTGCGCACTGTAAACATTGTAAAAGTGTGTTAGTGACCAATAAGGTGTGCAAACAAAGGAAATTAGTTTGTATGCATTTTACACAACAAAACTAAAAGAAGGTGCAGTTCTTAGAAATCTTTCTGACTTAATATGTCCAGCCATACAAAAAGAGAGCCACTTTAACCCAACCTTTGAGAGTGTAACCAGTGGGATAGTTCACACAATTTCCATATACTCAAAGCAGGTTATGTTAAGCATTGTCATGCATTATTTTAATGCATCGGGAAGTTGTTAAAAGCAAAGACATTTACTTGTTACTTGAATACAAACCTATGCAACTTGCATTTTTTTGTTTCAACTTCGCTATAATTTAGAGAAAATTGTGCATTTTACTGTATTAGATATGTCTGACAGCTTTTTATCTTTATATTGTTTACCTGAAAGCAAATAAGGAAATTTTACATTTAAAAAAAGCATGATATGAATACAAATATGTTACACTTAAACAT